CAAAACCCCAAAACCCCAAAACCCCAAAACCCCAAACACAGAAATTCATGGATATAACTAATTTTATTCTCAATATTAGTAAGATGTTACAGCTTTTTTATAATTATAATTGAAATGGAGGAATCTTAAACAGCAAGTGAATAAACTAGCCAAAATTAAGCAGAGTCTGTTAGAGATAAATCACATAAATTGATAATCGATATTGGATATGGATCATATTCAGCTCACGCTATAGCCCTAGCTGTTTACTTATCAAATGCTCATTAAGTTGAAATTATGGGGATAATAGCATCTATTAAGGACAAAAATGGGTCAAATTTTACAAAGATAATTACAGATATTCTTGATGTCAATAATGCTACAGGTTTAAAGATTTATGAAGAAGTTATTAACGAATCAGAAGGTGATCACGAGATCAATGAGCACGACAGTAATATCGATTAAGCTAATAGTTAAAGTGATTTCGACAGGAAATCTGATTACTCTAATCTTACCTCTGAAAATGCAATCAATTTCATCGTCAAGGCTATCAATGATAATCCCAACAATATCACCTTCGTTTGTTTAGGTGGCCTCTCTAACATCATCAAGGCTTATGAAAGTTGCAAAATACTACCTGAGATTTTAAAATAAGTAATAATAATCAGCGATAAGCTTAATGGAACAAAATTCTCTCAAGATATAACTACGACAAAAAAGTTCTTTCAAGTCTTTAAAAACATCACATTAGTTGGATCTAATTTATCCGGTATATCTGAGAGTAGCTATTTGAATCAGGAAATGTATTCTTAGATTTTGAAACTAGATTCTGAAAGAGCAAGATTAGTTAAGAGAGAATTTGATACACATGAGTATAAAAGAGAAAATAATTCCTACTTAATAAATCAATTAGCCGTAGCTTGTGCGCTCGAGCCGTAAATAATAAAAAACTATACCATGAGAAATGTTTAAGTAGTGTAAGATAGTGATTCAGCTGAAGTTCATCTTTTCGCTTAGCTCGACTAAAGTCAAAATAGCTAAGAACATCAGGTTAAAATCATTACTGAGGTTGATAATTCTTTGTTTGCAGAATTATTGGGAGATTTTTTAAAAGATGGTGAAGAAATCTATTCCTTAAAACAGTTTGAGAAGTAGAAAAACTAAGAAATACTACAGACTTATCTAGATGTCATTGGAATTCCAAGATCAATCAAACTCACTCCTAATCTTGAAACATTGAGTTTGGTAGTAAATAAGCATGTCTTGAATATTCCTTATCAAAATTTCCACTATCACTTCAAAGATAGAAAGGCACTTTCATTTCAATTTAAAGATTTAGTTGATAGATTAGCTGTTTAAAGGTTGGGCGGATTATGTTTCGAACATATTGCCTTAACATACCATGTGTTAAAAGAATTAGGGTTCGACGTCAGACCACTATTATCTGCAGTATATAAGAACTTGCCGAATATATTCAGCAAAGATTATTTCCAAACTCACGCCTTCTTGATAGTCATTCTAAATAATTAGCATTATATTGTTGATACTGGCTTTGGATCAGAAACCCCATCCTTCCCTCTGCTAATTAACTTTGAGGTTGATGAGTAGATCATTAAAGTGGACTAATATATTACTTTTAAGTTGGTCAACTATCATGACAATTCTGAGCTCTAACTTTGGTTTGATAATTAATGGTTTAGATTGTATGCTTTTGAACGACCTCTAGCTTCCTTGTAAATTGAGCAAATTTATGATTAATACGTGGCCCTTCTGAATTATGATGGATATCAAGTTATCAGAGATAAGTTTATCATTGTAGGAATACTTAATTAGAAAGGCTTTTATCAATCATATTATTTCCCCTCAGCCAAAACATTCACAGCAATTGATGGATCCTTAAGAGAAGGAGTTGCTTTTCATTAAAGATACGAGTCTCTTGAATAATTTTATGAGGATGTGAAGAAAGAAACTGGCCTAATTGTGCCTTTAGACTCTCTGCTCAGGACTGACATTGATATTGATAATCATTGATCATTCTTTGATTCTTATTAATAATCAACAGCAAAAATTCATTTAATCACATTAGATCTCAATTTGAACTATGGGGTTTTGGGGTTTTGGGGAGATCGGAAGAGCACAC